TTTCATTTTGAAATGTAGCTCTCATTTTTGGAGGATTGGTGAGAATGGATAATACGGTAGACAGATTCTTTGTGTTTTCCTCTGTATTTATTGCTGACAAACTTCATTAAAACAATTGGATTTATGCATCTAAAATATATTTCTAATGCTATTTTCCCATGTATGTAATTTCAGTAACAGCTACAAGTAGTTATGTGCTGGGGCAGGAGGATGGATAGGAGGAGGAACTAGGGGAGCAACTGACACTTGTGGAGGTGGGGTGGGAACAGGATCCAAGCTGGGAAGGAGCATCCTGACAGTTGCTATTTCTGTTCCTCATCAGCTGGTGCTTGGTGCCTTGTGCTCTCCACAGGCTGGTGCACGTGTTCCTGACCCTCTGGTGGGCTGGGTGACTCTGCCAGAACCCACAATTGCTGGAAGGCAGGGAGAGGAGAACCGTTCATACCTTCTCCCCAGGGGGCTGGCCTGATCCCGTGCACTGTGATGGCTGTTTAAGCCCGTTCTCCAGGTCCTGCTCTGGCCTCTGCAAGATAATGTGTTGGAAAAAACATACATCAGCTCCCCCAGTAGGCATTTGTCCTATCCCTCCAGTTCTGCTGTCCATCTTTATGAGATCACAAATGGGAAGGGATCAGGTCTGTATGGTGGAATGAGGGTTGCTCAGTCGTGAATGGGAGATGCTTTACACATGTCTAATGAAATATGGCTTTTAGATAAAGTTTGAGACCCCTGAGAGATCCTTTAATCAGATGTTATGTATGGTCTCAAACACTATGGTGTGATATATACAGTGAATTTTGATTTGCTGTTGTGGAATCAGTAGTTTAGTTGTCTTCACAGGGCCTCTAGATACTTTTCACCTCAGTTCACATTTAATGTTGCATACTGTCCTCTGTTGGTTAGCTAGTAAGAATAGGTTTGGTAGTCAAAAGTTTAAAATTTTAAAAAAAGTTTCTTGGTCAAATAATTATTTGTGAATGATTAAAATTTATCCCTGAGCAGTGTTTTGGCTTTTTCTTTCGTTACTCTAGGGGGAGGAAGGGAAACTTGGGTGGGGGAATAAGAAGTTAAATTTGAGTTAAGGTTTCTGGACTACATATCCCACTAATGCAAACCATAAAGGGCATTCAGTTAAGCAGCTAAGTCTTTCAACACCCCATCTACATTCTACTTCAGCAGTTTTTTTCATAATATCAATTACCTCCCTTCCACCACCCATAATTCATATGCCTCTGCTCTCTTCTTAAACAGCATGCAGCCTTAACTCTGGCCAGAAATGTAATATATGAGTGCGCTTGCTTATATGGATTTGAATTATGTAATTTATATGAAAAAAAGTTACTACAAAATTCAGAAAAATGTCTTAAAACAGACGATCCATTCACAGAACTTTGTAAAGCGTTGCAGAAAAACATCTCACAGCCACCATTTGCAATGTAACATCTAATTTACTTAGATCAATACAAAACCAGATGAAGAACTATTCTGAATGTTATTTATGAAAGTCTTCCACCAGTCCTCTGTTATGAGGGCACTTGTGGCTCCATAGTTAAGGTTGAGTTGAGGGTTTTTTTGCACTTAGTGCAGGGATTCAACTACTTGGTTTATATATGAAAAATAGACTGTCTTTTCCCACAAATTGCACCACTTTTTGACAGGAGAAAGAATTTTCTGAGATTTTGTATGTGAATTAATTTGAATTAATTGTGGGAAAAAAAGGGGGGGGCATTTGAAGAAATCTAGTATTGTCAGAATTTTTGTTGTTCTGAATGATCTCAACAATGGAATAGTTCACTCTTCAAATTTCCTGTGTAGTTAAAACTCATGGAAATCTTATGCACAGGTTAAATTTTGAAGAAATTTGTGCGTAGGATTAATAGTAATTCTTTGCTGTTGATTCATAACTGAAGGTTTCTTTTCTAGAATGGTGTGACACAGATACTCTTCACAAAGGATCCTCGGTTCTTTGCAAACAGCTCTCACTTCAGACCTGACAAACTCACTCCACCAAACATGTCTTACTTTTTATGGATAAATATCCTTTAACATGTAAGATATCAATAGAAAGCTCACAACTTGTCAAAACTCATAATCATTGTGAGATGTATGTACACATAATATTTAAGGGATAATGTATTTATATTGAAAGTATGTTTTATGCACTTGGAGTAGAAATTAGTCACCAGGTGGTAATGTGTCTCTATGATGACCCATTCAAACAAAAGGGAGTTGTCACCCCTTCCTGATCGGTTGGTGAGGTAATGAATGCATGGTTCTATTGTCTACCCTTGCCACAATCCATGGAAAACTATCAGAGACCGAGACGACAACAATCAATCAAAACCACTTAAAGGTAGAAAAGAAATGCTACCACAGGGCAGGGGTTCACCTTTTTGATTAGAAACAAAAGACTGTTTTCAGTATAACAGAGATTAGGGAGAGGCACTCTAGATCCATTCACTGAGGAAAATCCCAGGCACAAAGGGAAGCGTTCTTGCATGTTTGTATTCTGGTTCTTGAGAAACCAGTGATCTTGGAACTTTGGGGTGGGGAAGATGGAAGTCTACTAAGATAGGAAGGGTAACTCTTCGTGTAGAGCCAGCTTTGCATTTTTATGATTTTGTTTTGTATTGCAACCATTTGTTTCCACCACTATCTTCTTCCCAGTTAAATTTCTGTGTGGTTTACAGGAGCAGTGGTTTAAGGTAAAATTGGTAAACAGGGTACAATATACCTCTCTGAGAATAGTCAGTGTCGGGGGCTGGATGTCACATGGGAACAATTCAAAGGGATTTGTAGATTGGGGTGCACCTTATTGTTAGCTTGCAAGGTGAAGAAAGGCTGACATAAGTCTAGAGGAGAGCTCTTGAGTGACTGAAGGGTTGACAGGTCAGAGAGCTGACACCCAGCTACAATAAGAGAGACTTCCTCTCACTAGAGGCAGGGGGTAACAAGGTGACTCTCAGTCCTGGATATCCCAAGAACCATCACACACAGGTTGAATAATGTTCTTCAGAATTCTATTATACTGCCCTGTAGTGGTATCAAGTGGGGGGAGGGGGTGGTAAAATCTAATTTGTCATTAAATTAAATTGATTGATTTTGGCACCATAAACACAATTTTGTATTAATCATATGATTATTGCATTGCTTAACTACATAGTGGTGATAAGGTTGTTTGGGTGCCTTAACTGCATTTCCCTAAGGTAATCCAAACATATTAAACTAAGTTTAACCTTAATTCTGAATTTCCTTCATTGCGGATAATTACAACATCCATGTCATTTTTTTTAACCTTACTTTTACATACTCCCAACTTTAACTCCATCTAAACAGTTAATTATTAAAACACATAACCTCTAATGACCAATAAATATAGTCAGAGCTGCACATTGGTTATGCAGGATGTGGATGGAGATGCACAGGCTATGGATGATGGAAGGGAGGTAGCTGAAATTGAGAAAAGGATGTGCTGAGTGGGGAATAGGTGGACTGTTGAATGACTTAACTTGAAGTTGACCATATTTTTTCTATATTAGTTTTCCAGTTTATATAAATAAGAATATATGTTATCTATCTCCTTAATTGCCATCCTCTGCTCTGCTCCTCTGAATCCAAATCCCTACAACCCTGTTTCTCCTCCTGGTCTCTGGGGAGATGCATTCTTTCCCCCATGTCACGTACTTCCCTGCCATATTCAGCTTTTAAACTCTTATATATATTGATACTTAACAGTTGAATGGTGTAGGGGAGCATGGTGAAGAGTAAGGATTTGGATGGACGGAAACACATTGAGGAGCAGGGCTGTAGGGTCATGGTTCAACATGAAAGCAATTTGGGGATGGGGGAACCTGAGGGGGTGTGGAAGTAGGTGCATGGGCCGGCCAATAGTAGCTGTTCAGTAAGGTGTGGAGTGCTGAGTGGAAGTTGGGAGAGCTAGAGCTGGAAGAAGTCTGGTTGGAGAGGATCTGTGCTTTGAACCACTTGTGGCCAGTCAGGGTTTCTCTCTGCTTCCACCACTTCTCTCCTGCAATATTACTTCAGTTCAAGCCCCTTCTCCCTATAATTCTGCTTCCCTTGCATTTCACCCCTATATGCTCTGTCTAGTTTCATATTATGGAATCTTCTCTAGAGATGTAGATGTCCTTTCTTTTATTATAAAAATACTATTTTTAGGCACTCCTAAATCAAGTTTACCAGATTAGGAAATGCCAGTGTTAATTCTATCTGCTTGTATATATGCATTATGTTTATTATATGCTTGCTTTTCTTGCTTAATCCAGCTCACAGTGAATGGGGTGTGCAGCATTTATTTCAAAGTAACTTACGAGAACAGAAAAAAGCTGTACCCAGTATAACTGCTTAAGTCATCCAGAAATTTTCATCTGTGGAAAATTGTTTTTAAATGACTTATAAATATTTACCCTCGTTCAGTCTTTGGAACCTTGCCTCATTTACTGCACATTATCTAGACTCTGCATTAAATTAGGTAGGATCCCGTGAGAAAGGAATATAATGAGCATATAACTAAGAACTTCATTGTAAAATAGATGCATAAGATTTAAGGTTGCTCTCTCAACCTTAATTGTGGCATTTTTGACTTCATGACGTAACTCTGTAACCATATTCTGTTAATGTAATTATTTTGATGGAATTACTCAGTAGGTGAATTTACAATGAAGGATAGTAATGCAAAGTTTTTCCAATAATGTGGATATTTCCTTTTGTGAGTGTTGCTAACATTTTGTATCTGTATTGCTGTGTAATTTTGTGGATATGAAGCTAGATCCAACTAAACTTTGATCTAGACAAAATGTAACTCAGTTCCATTTTTTCTGTCCTGTTCCAAGTTATCTTTTGTTAAAGATATCCCATTTTTACTTCCTAACCTCAGTTTAGAGCAAGAATGTTTTGTTAATCAGATTATGCACTTAAGAAGACATAACTTTTTATATCTGTTCTTGGAAAATGCCAATTTAATTTTTACTATTTTTCATTAGATATGATTTTATGAAAACTCAGCCTGCTGAGAAGATGCACCTAGCAGTGGTTGCCTGTGGTGAAAGGCTGGAGGAGACTGTTACTATGTTGAAATCAGCCATTATTTTCAGCATCCAACCTCTACAGTTTCATATTTTTGCAGAGGGCCAACTGCACAACAGCTTCAAAGGCATAGTAAGTATCCAAGTCATGCACTGAATCAGTTTGTAGCTTAGTGGAAGTATGTGTGGCTTTCTCTTAGACATCTGCTACTGGGTATTGTTCTGTTAGATGTAGTTGCAATGATTCAGGTGTGTGTAACATTATGAAGTCCTTATATTCTCTGTTGGTCAGACCATTGCACTACACTTCAGGCCCACTTCACTGCTTCCATCAGTGAGCACACTTGGTCACTTTTTTCCTTCCCCCGCCCCCCCAGTATTTTTTCCAGCTGTGTGTCTCCTGCCCACTTCACCCCCGAGGGGTGGGGTGGGGTGGGAAAGGCAGCACGGGTAGTGTTCCAGAGCCCAGTCTTGGATGTGGGATTTAGGGATCCTTCCTTGCCAAGCACTAATCCAGTTGTGCATTTAGCACTGGGGAAAAAAACTGTGTAAAAACTGTCCTGCAGCATACTGGATTATTGCAATCTGACAGGCCTCCTTTTTAGTGTTTCTCAACAAGCTTTGCACAGAAACAGTAGTGCTGTTCAAATTTTTATTACTGGTTCTGTTCCCTGTTTCCACTCTAGGGCTACTGAAGGATGGCTATCAGAGTTTATGTAAAAGTTTATGTAAAAAGTGTCCTCAGAATGGGAGGGGATCCATAACAGGTACTGTGGCAGATTATTTCTTTGCAACAGTGCTTTCTCCTCAACCTCAGGCCAAGGGTTACCCTCTGTTTCATTGGGGTTGGTTATGGCTCCTCTCTAACCCTAATCATCATTGTGGCTCCAAGCTCAAGTTTCATTGATCTGACCTGTTAGTCTCTGGTTTAATCTCTGGTTCTGTCCTTCAGTGATACATTTTCAACTGTTTTGGACTCTAAGTCCAGTTCCCATCTGGGACCCACACTTTTCCCCCTGCATGGATGCCCCTCTGCAGGTCTCCTGCCAGGCGTTTAGAAGAACCAACTTATTTTGTTTTGTGGTGTTTTGTTTTGTGGTGGGGGAACAAAGGGTTCTCTCTGTCTGCGTGTGTCTTTTGCCGGGACCAGAGCAGGAATGCAGGTCAGAACTTCTGTAAAGGGTTAATAAGCAATCTAGTTAGATATGCGTTAGATTCTGTTTTGTTTAAATGGTGATAAAATAAGTTGTGCTAAATGGAATGTATATCCCTGTTTGTGTCTTTTTGTAACTTAAGGTTTTGCCTAGAGGGATTCTCTGTTTTGAATCTGATTACTCTATAAGGTATTTACCATCCTGATTTTACAGAAGTGATTTTTACTTTTTCTTCAATTAAAACTCTTCTTTTAAGAACCTGATTGCTTTTTTCCTTGTTCTTAAGATCCAAGGATTTGGGTCTGTGTTCACCTATGCAAATTGGTGAGGATTTTTATCAAGCCTTCCCCAGGAAAGGGTGTGTAGGGCTTGGGGGGATTTTGGGGGGAAAGACATTTCCAAGTGGGCTCTTTCCCGGTTATATTTTGTTAGACGCTTGGTGGTGGCAGCAATAAAGTCCAGGGACAAAAGGTGAAATAGTTTGTACCTTGGGGAAGTTTTAACCTAAGCTGGTAAAAATAAGCTTAGGGGGTTTTCATGCAGGTCCCCACATCTGTACCCTAGAGTTCAGAGTGGGGAAGGAACCTGGACAACCGGTCACATAGTCATCTCAGCCTCTTACCTTCCTGGTATACAAAACACCATGGCTGATGATGTCACCAGGCACTTCTTCCAAGATTATGAATGTGAGCTAGACTTGTGGATTCTCAGAACTTTTTTTTTCTAATCTGGAGCTTTCCACAAGTGGTGCTCTCTGCCACCATTGCCAAAAGGAAGTGCATGAAATTCTGTTTGAGAGGAAGACTGGGTCCTCATTTCCTAGGGCATGCCTTCCCCACTCCTTAGATGAAGGTCCTTCTCTGTGCATACCCTCTGACACCATTGATCTTGAGCATGTTGAACAAGAGCAAATAAGAAAAGGCCAGAGTCATTTTAGTTGTACTGAACTGGCAGAAATAAGCCTTTACTTGATCCACCTCGCTTCCTGTCCTGTGTGAAGACTTCCAACCTAGTTCTTTGACTAGGAGTTTGGCTCCTCAATAGCTCTCAGGAATAGAAACTTCCTGTTTCTAGAAGTACATGTGGTGTTAAACAGAAAACTATATACGCAAAATGTTTACCTTCACAAATTGAAGAGATTTCACCTTTTCGCTCTCCCTCTCTGCTAATCTCAGTTTATATGCCCTCTATTAGATTTAAATCTCATCTGTAATTAGCGTATGAAGCCTTCTTTTGAACCACTGACGACTAGTTCTCTACTTCACTTGTCTCTGAAGAAGGCTTTCTTGGTGGCCACCATCTCTGCCTGAAGTGTCAGATAAATGGGGACTTTAATGGCTGATCCTCCCTTTAAAATATTTTTTAGGGAAAAGTTTGTTTCAACCACACCCTAAATTTCTACCTAAAGTATCTTTTGAATTCAATATTAACCTGATTATTCATTTTCTGTTTTGTTTTGTTTTTTTCTCCCCAAAGCCACACCAGAACAGGGAGGAGGCTGCACTACATACCTTAGATATCAGAAAGCCGCTGTCCTCCTCTTAGGACAGAACCAAACCATTTAGGAAGTCTCCCAGACTTTTTTTATTTGAAGACAGATCAAAAGGATACACCATCTCCACTCAAAGACTCTCAAAGTAGATCTCTGGGTGTATTATCTCTTGTTTAGAGGCTGCCAACATTGAAACTCCTTCTAGAGTACTACCCCAAATCTATTTCTATGGCATTATTGAAAAATGTTTCCAGTTGTTGAAATTTGCAAAACTGCAACCCTGGACTTCAATACATATTTTCTTCGAACACTGTGCGTTGGTTCATGCTTCCAGATCAGATGTTGCAGTTGAAAATTCTGTCCTGTCTTCCGTGTTGGATCTGATTCCAAATCTCCCTTCTCCCTCTGGGGATACTGCTTGTGAGTCACCTGAAGTGGAGTACCCATAGCAATGCTACTTGAAGAAGAGGTTGTGCACCTTGTGCAGTAACCAGAGTTCTTCAAGATGTTGCTATGGTTGCTCTGCTACCTAACTTCCTTCTACTCTGCTTTGAATTTCGTCTCATGGGACTTTGGGTAGAGAAGGAACTGAGGGCAAGACACCCGTGCAGCTCTTTATGTCCTCGGTACCGGGCATGAGAGTGTCTGGATCATATGAACAGGCCGAATGGTTATTGTGACCCATAACTCTTCAATCATAGTTACATGTGCACATGAAGTGGAGCACCCATAGAGGAACACATCTCAACTCCAGTTACTGCATAAAGTGAGTAACCTCTTATTCACTGCATAAGCTGCAGTGACCCGGTTCTGCCAACATGAGTTCATTTTAAATCCAAACCAGCTTCCTGCTCAGAACATCATCCAGCTGAGAGCTTCTTTCAAAACAGCCAAGGAATAGTTTATTTTCAGGAGAAAATCTGACCTGTTCCTTCTGACCAGGCACTCCCACCAGCTGTCTGCATGGCAGTGTCTTTGCAGATTGGAATGACAGTAGTGGTAAAAATAATCAATTGGTTTATGTCTCTTCTTGGCAAACTCCAGCTGCTGAATAGAAAATTATGACCAGATTGACAATCTGAGGCAGGAATTGGGTTCATTGATGCACAGTTACGGTAGGTTTGGTTATTTTTGCATTTAAAAAGTGGATACTTTAAATTACCAAGGTTACTTGAGACCTATCTTGTTCCGTGACAGACTAATGTGACTCTGCTATATACCAGTTTTGTTTTTAATTTTAGATTCCCCTACAAAATCAGCAGTTTGCTTAACATGTTTTCTGTGTCCTTTACTTTTGTATCCCATCTTTGATTTGCTCTAATTTTAAAGTCCTTCGGTGAGTCACTTTTTGCTTGACATTAAGCATACTTGAACAATATTCTAGCAAATTTTTGTAGTTAAAAAAATCTTTCTGGTTGGGGGGAGGGAGGAGAAGATTAATAAAATCAATTAATTAGATCAATACATACTTCTGCATGTCTTCAATTAAATGACCAATCTAAATGGTCAGTTCTTCTTATGATACATTATCCTCTGGTAAAATTAAGCTTAAACAGATTTGTGTCCTTTCTTTACCTAGCTCAATGGTTTGCCATATCAAGGAAAATTTAATTATACCGTATACCCAATAACATTTCCGACTGAGAGTGCAGCAGAATGGAAGAAACTGTTTAAACCCTGTGCTTCACAAAGGCTATTCTTGCCAGTAAGTTAGCTTATTTCATAATAGTACAGTGTTTACAGGTTTTTTATGAATTCATTAAGATTTGTTTTCGAATTTACCAAACTTTTGGCTGCAATTGTGCAGGAAACTGTTTTCACTAAAAATCATTTTTGTCACATTTTACAAAAAAATCCCGTTTTTTCCCTTTAGCAGCAATGTACTAAAATAAAAAACTTGCATTTTCGATTGCATGGTACACCAATGTCTTAAACTGTTCTACATCAGGTTTCAGTTTCTTTCTGTTCTTATGATGTATAATAAAAGAATTCATACATTTGTAAACTATCTGTCTGAAGTGAAGTCATTGGCTCATGAAAATACATAAACTAAACTACTCTGTAAGGGCGAGGAGGGAATGGTTTCCAAATAATCCTTTTGTCTATGTAAGCTATAAAGACAAAACAAATACTTCATGGATCACCCTAGTTTGATTTTAACTTTTTTTCTTCACAGTTAATCCTCAAAGATGTGGATTCGTTACTGTATGTTGATACTGACATCCTGTTTTTGAGACCTGTTGATGATATTTGGTCTTTTCTGAAAAAATTTAATTCCACACAAATTGCTGCAATGGCACCAGAACACGAGGAACCTCGTATTGGATGGTATAATCGCTTTGCTAGACACCCATATTATGGAATAACTGGAATAAATTCTGGAGTAATGCTAATGAATATGACACGTATAAGAAGAAAGTATTTCAAGGTATGTATGCTGCTTTGGTTGATTTGTCAGCATTCACCTTTTTTCATTCAAATTGTGAGGGGGAAAAAATAGTTTCAAATAATGAACATCAATTTTGAAAAATAATGCTCCAGTATATTTTTCTCTTGTTTTGGAATCAGAATATTGCATAAACATTTTTTATTTCAGAAGTGCACGAGTTCGCATTTAGTTGCAGGGATGTTTTTAAAAAAACTGAATTTGTGACTTTTACTAAAAACTTGTTTGCTCAGTTTCTCGAAATCTGGAAAAATGTTTGCTTGTTAATAATTTTCTGTCTTTTGCATCAAGTTGTATTTGTCAGCAGATATTTTAATTTACCTTTATTTCTCAATATACTTATATCTCTTTGAGAAAATGATTTGTGCATTTTTTGTTGTATGTGGCAAAATTAACAGCAAGTAGAATGTTTTGAGCCTTCGAGTATATGTGCATGGTAATATGACCAGGAGGTGGTGCTACTAGATTACTTATTAGGGCATTGTGACTCCTTTAGTGCCATATGCTACATTATTTCTTAAGTTTAATCTTTACTTTTAGAAGATCATTCAGTTAAATTAAGTAATGGTGATTGAGTTGTTTCTTCAACACCTAAATCATTAAAATGACTTATTTCTCTCCAACTTTTATTTTGTATTGTAACCAGTTGTATCACTACAGAAATTGAAATGTTTATTAAAGCAAAGTGAACAACAGCTGAAAATATACATAGGAAATCTTTCAAATCAGTGATGTAATATGCTTGAAAAACGGTATTACAGAAGTGGTGCCATATGTAGTTACAGTTGGAGAGGGCACTTGTCCTGAAAACAATTTTTTACAATAAATTATAACTTCAGCCCAATTGTTAATTTCTGGTGAACATTCTTTGTCCTAGAATTTTGTTTCACTTTATTTTAAGAGGGAGGGTGGGGCAATGGGGAGTCCATTCTGCTAGCCCTAAGTTATCAGAGAGTTAAAAATACTGGTGATTTAAAATTTTTTTAAATGTTTTTCAAGTTATTTTCTTGCCTACGGACTAGAATGTGGGGCTGGGTGTCAGGAGATCGAGTTATGTTTTTAATTCTGCCATTAAAGTGCAGTGTTACCCTGGGCAAGTCGCTTAGCCTTTCTGTACCTAAACTACCCACTCTGTGTGACAATAATCACATCTAGAGAGTGGTGGAGCATTTACCGCAGGTGTGGTAGGGTAGGTCTGGCTGGGCCCAAAATCCCTTAATCTCTTGTTCCCCAGTGTGGGGCTTGTATACCCCATCACACGGGGAAATAAGTTATGCTAACTAGGGGGAAAAATAGTAATGAATAGACCTTGGAGGACACAATAGCATTTTGAGGTTCAGCTAAGTTTTGCTCTCTCCATATAGTCCAGTACAATAAATTGAGCTCACTTCAGTTTGTGGTGCGTTTGTGAGGAGCTGGGAGCAAGAGGCACTAGGAGCTGAGAGTGAGAACGCGGACTGTGTGAGGACTGTGGAGTACAAGCATTATCAGACACCAGGAAGAAGGTCCTATGTTGAGAACAGGACCATTGGGAGGCGGCCATGGGGAAGTAGCCCAGGGAGTTGTAGCTGTCGCACAGCTATTCCAGGAGGCACTCTAGACAACTGCATTCCACAGGGCCTTGGACTGGAACCCAGAGTAGAGGGTGGGCCCGGGTTCCCCCCAAACCTCCCCACTCCTGGTCAGACACAAGAGGAGTTGACCTGGACTGTGGGTTCATGAAAATGGCCAAACTGAGGGCTGCTGTGAAGCTCTGAGGCAAGCAAATCCGCCAATATGTGGAAGACCCACCAAGGTAGAGGAGGAACTTTGTCACACTATTCTATACTTTTGACACACTGCTGATGTATTTTTTGCTATAAGCATGTGTGTCTTGTCAGGTTTTTTTATATTATAAACTCTTTGGGGCAGGATCATCTTTTGTTCATACAATGCCTAGTACAATGGGGCCTAATCCTGGTTGGAGCTTTAACTGCTAGGAAAATGTAAGTAATGAATCACCATCAGTCACCACACTGTCTGGAATAAGGTAGTACTCCTTTGCAACCCTGCCTCTTTCAGTGTGTGGAGTCACAGATCATATCACATCCATACCTACTAAAAATGAAATTCCACTCAACTTTCTTAAGCATCAGTGGTGTCCCTAGCATCTGTTTGCCAGAAGCTGGGAATGAGCGAAAGGGGATGGATCACTTGATGATTACCTGTTTTGTTCATTCCCTCTGAAACACCTGTCATTGGCCACTGTTTGAAGACAGGATACTGGGATAGATGGACCTTTGATTTGATCCAGTATGGCCATTCTTATGCTCTTAATAAATTGAGAGTATCTGTTCATTATAAAGTTTCTCTGCAGTTTTATTTATGTATGTACATACTGCGTTGATAGTACACTGGCACATTTGTTTCCCATAAAAACAGAAAGCAATGCACACGCATGAAGTTAATTTTTAATAGTCAGAATTCGGCCAAATCCCAACTATCTTTCACCAAACTACTAAAAAGCCATCTCTTCCCTGGAAGTTAGTTCTTTTGAAAATTTTAACTCTAAAGTCACTAGACACTTAAGTTCCATTATCAAAACTGACTTAGACCGTTTAGATGCTTTTGGAAATTTTAAACTAGGTGCTTGCATAGGAAGTACATTCCTGCTAAATGTCAAGTTTCTGCCAACTCTTGTTGAAGTACTAGAACTTAGTTCAGAGGTAATTCTTATATAATTGCAAGTATGTATGCTTAATCAAAAAAGGCTTATATGGCTTGGTCAGCAACAATGCAAATTCTGGGTTCCTTGCTTACTTTGAAAGGCAGGGTAATTACCATTCACCATCCAGGTATTGCCTACTATGAGCAATTCCCTCAGCTTTCTCCACTTGTATTCCTGCCTTTTTCAGCATAGTGTGAAGGAAGGTGATCTTTGCGGCTGAGCGTTATGGATTTGGCCATGACCTAGTGCGGTGGTTGTGCTGTATCTTCTAAGCTTCGTATTACAGCCTGTCACTTTTGACAGGACTATCTCATTTGTCAGGTAATATTTCTGAACCAATTTACCAGCACAGAAGCTTCTAATCTCTCTTCCCCATAAAAATGTTATTTCACAGTCAGTAGATTCCTTCCTAAGTGTAAACCTTTTTCCTGTTTTTAGGAGCTGTTGTGACTTCTGTCTCCCTGGAAATAAGTCTAAGCCTTCTTTTTCAGCCTGAAGCTGCTATGACTGTTTACGGACTATCAGTTTTCTTCTTCTGTGCATTTGGGTAGGACGATGATCTCTCATTTTCTTTTCTACTTGTGGAAAGCCACCTCCTCAGTGTCGCAAGAATTTCTGTTCCCTTCATCTTCTCCTTTTCCCAGATTAGAACTGGCTTTTTTCTGTGCATAGCTTCCCAGTTCTGGGGGTTGAGGGCCCTATCTTGATGAACAGCGATGTTGAAGGGAGGGTTATTCTATATTTTTGTGGCCTCAAAGAAGGAGGCAGTAGACCATTTTTAGAAAAAGTATATATATTTTTGGATGTTAATTGAGTGAATTGGCTCCTAAAATGTCAGATGAAAAATGAAATATTGCAGATCCACGCTTCTAGCAGTGGATCAGGGCGTTTTCCAGGTATAGGTGGACTTGAAGATTCTTGCATGTGCAACCCATATTCTCTTCCTGAAAAAGTTTTTGAGATTCACACTGGACAGTTGGCATTTCCAATTCTGCTTTCTTCCTTTTGAAGATCTCCACCCCTAGAGTGTGTTTATGAATGTCATGTCATTTGAAACGGCATCCTGCCATCAGTAGAGGGATTTGTATTTTCTTTTTGAACAACTGAATTTTATACTCTGGAGACCGAGCCACCAAAATAGCATGTGAAACAGTAGCTTTGTTTACTTCAATTATCATAGTGAACCAAAAAGTGTCCTAATTTTATCCAACATGTTGTCTTCAAAATGATCATTTGAGGTGAGGTCACATGGATGCCCACTCACTGCTTGGAATATTAACTTCATGGGAAAGAGTTGCACAAAAATACCCTTAAGCCTTGGCTGATCAAATTTAGTCATATTAGTGTTTGGAAGATTAAGATGAGAAAACACATTCTCAAAATCTGACATGTCTGTGTACTGAAACCACCAAGGAAGCATGAGAAACCAGAGTCTGCTAAGGAAGTAGTCTACCCCTTTTTGTTTTCTTGGGTGGAGGTGAACCAATTTTTAGTAAGACCCTGTTCGTTCTGGAACACCTTAATAGTGCAGCAACCTAGTTAAATCGATCTAAAATTTACAATCATTGCTTACCTTCCAGAACGAAACCTTCTACCTTGACAAAACAACTTGGTTTATTTATTGATAAGGAGAAGACAAAATATATGGCTGTTAGTGTCCCCGAAGTAACTATTAGAGTGGACAAAGAAAAACTAGAAATATAAGTCATTTTACCTATGTAGGGAATGAGATGTGAAATGATGGTGAAACCATGTTAGATGTCAAGCAATTAATATAAAAAGCAGCAACAACTTTTGTAAAGATTTGGACAAGGAGCATGATTGACACTGATATTGAAGTACTTTTTTTTTTAACACTGGTATCATGTCTGTCTTCTTTTATGAAGCAGAGTCATAGAAACGTACAACAGAAATTGATAAGAACAATTAATTCCAAAGTAAATGCTTATGGCAGATGTTCAGAGACCACCAGAAAGAGTTCTTTTGCAACATCAGAAATTTTAAGAAGAGCAAACCAATTTTAAAGTATCAAATATAGTAAAAAGACAAAGATGGACATATTTAGGACACGCTTCAAGTATGCCACTAACTTGACTTCCATGGCAAGTGATAACATGGACATCAACTGGAAAGAAAAAGAGGGTTGCCTAGAGAGAGACATAGAACAATAGAGAGAGAAGCCAGATCATCAGTTTGAAACTCAGAACAAACCAGCACAAGACTAACATAAATAGTGGAAACTGATGGATGCCCAGTACACCTGTGGGTGCAGGAG